AACTTGGACTAGTATCGACCTCGTGGAGGCCATGGCTGAGATCCTGGCTAGACTGAAATCTATGGCAAAGTTCCCATTGACTTCAGTGGGGCCAGGACTTCACCCCAAGCCACTAAGTACCACACTCCCCTTCCTTGGCTAGCTAGCAAGGCAGCATTGTTGTGCCTTCTGGGCTAAGCCCTTCGCTCAGAGCTTCAACTGCTGTGATCCTTTGATGGGGACGTCTGACTCGACAGGTCAGGGTATCAGTGGATTGGGATGGGGGTCCCTACACGGTGTGTAGCCTGGCACGACCGGGGGGGGGGGGGCAAGTCAGCTAACCCCCAGCAGCAAACTGCTTCTGTTTAATGTCCCCAAAGAGCACTGAGACGCATGGGGGGAAGGCGCCGGAGGTTCTAATGAGGTTTATTTGCTCTCCTCCGAAGCATCAGCGGACCAGACCCGATAGCTTGAGCAGCTCCTGTAGGATCTCTTGCGTGTTCATCCTTCCAGAGGGGCTCAGGACACCCGTACATCCATTATCGTTGGGGTGGCAAGAGCCTCCCAGCTCCACCTTCCAGAACCAACGGCCTATGAATGTCAACTTCAGCATCCAGCGAAAGTTGTCTCCGTGGCAACAGGGCGGTGGCGCCGGCCTATGACTCATGGCAAACGAGCCGTCCCCTGAGCCAACTGCCGAGAGGCTCCGGGAAGAATTGAAAAAACTCACCCCTGCCGCAGATAAAACCCATGTGGAAATAATAGAGCCATTCAAATCCCTTTAGAACTGCTCCGAAATTCATGGCTGGATTAGGCCGGGCAGCTGGTCTCTTGTCTGTATCCAGTATTAGAAAGTTATTACACCAGCTGGGGAATTACAGGATTGGGTGAACTGCAGGGCAGCTCACGCCTCTGAGCCACGTCCTCTAATCCCACCGCATTTACATAGTAAAATAAATCTGAGCACAACAACAACAACCACAACAACGGGAGACTCGAGATCCAAATACACCCCTCTGCCCCGGAAGCCTTGTCTCCAAGGCGCCCGAAGGAATTAACACCCAACTCTCTTGTTTTCATCTTCTCCTCTGCTCTCCAAGCAGCTGTTACCAAGGTGACAGCAGGACCAAACACGTAACCAGGGGGCTGTGGGTCCCTGCTTGGCTGGATCTAACGTTTGCTAGGGATAGGTCCCCCAAACCAAATCCCCACGACAGTTTTGAGGGAGCTTGGATCCAGATCAAACCCCCAGCATCTGAATACCTCAAAACTTTATTTTTTTGGAGGGGAAAAGAGTAGATTCCAAATGTTGCATCCCGTCCCATGTTATAATAAGCCAACCCAAAGGTCAGTTTTTTTCTGTAGTCTCCCCAGTCCAGTTATTTCCTCTTCCTTTTATATTTCTAGCCCCTCAGTTATTCCTTTCTTCTCATGTGCCTTGCATCTCCCCTGGACTTCACACAGATCCTTTCCCATCATCCATTCCTACTGGGAGAATGAGGAGAAACGGGTCTTTAGAGACTTGGAATTAAATTAACCATCTCTCCAACTTCCACTCACCACACTCTCTACAAAGCCCAGTTGAGCCCTGTGAGTTAGCCTCTCTATGGCTCAATTTCTGATCTCACACTGGATTAAATCCAGAGTGACTCCAGATTATACCCTTCCAACCAAAAGCAGAACTTGGCCCTAAATTTGGAAGGGTGCTAGTTATGTCCAATCTACATTTGAGAGCTGAGCCCCACCATGACAAAGCGTAAGGCACGTCTCTGTTCTGAATTCCTAGTGTGCTCGATGTTGGGCAGCGACTGAAAACTGAGGTCCAAATGATCCCGTCCGGTCAGTCTGGAAACACTTTTGTGCGGGCTCTGCCATGATCAGCTGCAGAGATCTGCCAGCCAGAAGGGCCCATTAGGATCATCTCAGCTGAGCTCCTGCAAAGCACAGGCCTGAGAGTCTCCCCCAGGGATTCCTGCACCCAGCCCCTCGTCGCTGGCTGAGCCAGACCGTCTCTTTTAGAGACATCCAGTCTGAGCGTAACGGCTCGCATTAAAACTCTGTGTTCGCCTTTGAGTGGAGAGAGACGGACCTGCTATCCCCAGCCTCAGGCGTGGAGGGCTGGGCACGGCCCCTCTGCTTCTGGGAGTGTCACAAACAAGCCAGTGGGCTGGACGCTGTAAGCAAGGCAGGGAGTTGGTAAAGTGGGGAGACAGTGACAGCAGCAGCAGCGTAACCTGCTCCCTGGATCCCCTCCCGACATCCCCCCAGCTCCAGGCGTGCAGGGAGGGGGCACGCAGGCAGACAGAGCAGGACCTACAGCCAGAGCAGATTGTACTCCCACAGCGGGTTCCCGGAGCGGCGCAGTGGTGACCGAGCAGCGGGCTTTGGCCCTGGTTTTCGTGCCCCAAAGGGCACTGGGTTATTCTCAGTGCAGCAGCCACCATGACTAAATCCCTCCCCCACTCAATGCCCTATGAATGCTATGCCACGTCTCTGTGCCTATGATGTGCCCACTTTCCCAGTAGGCATCAGTGTCTCTGGGGTGCCCAGCCTCGTGCTGGGTCCCAGCTGCCCAGTATCCAGGATTGCTCGACCTCAGAGCAATGGGAGGTAGACTCCTGGGTGTGCCGTCCGCACCCCTGGGTTCACCTGAGCATCCTAGCAGCAGCTCAGTTTCCTCCGGGTTTGTTAGCAACAGAAAGTTTCCAAACCCACCGTAGGGATGTTGTTTTAGCAACCGCTGTGATCGGCTGAATGCAGGGTCAGAATTCTGCCCCAGCAACAGAGCCTTTGAGAGGCCATGTGCTGCATGCTCACAGCTCCTTCGATGGACCGCTGCAGCACGCCCAACGGGTGCCCCTTCGCTGCACCATCTCTGCCCAGCACTGGCTCTGCCCCAGACGATCAGAGCACAGGGAGAGTAGCTGCAGATCATTCCTCTTTGCAGGGCACTCAGTCGCCAGGCAGGAACATGGAGGGGGGTTGTTGGCAGGAGAGGAGCTGAAAGAGAAGACTGGCAGGCTGGGGAGACAGCGCAGAAGTGGGAAGAATGGAAGAGAAGGACCGGGGAGAGAGAAGGGGGTGGAGAAACACAGAGACGAGGCCTTCAGGAGAGAAAGCCATTAGGACCAAAAAGGGTCTCTGTGGCTCCAAACTTGGGGCCAGGCCCTGCTGTGTCACCCCGCCATGCTGGGGCTCCCCCGCTCAGAGCTAGGCGCCATCTGTCCCTGCGCAGGCTCCGGGAGCAAGGAACATTATGTGCCATCCAAGGGCAGGGAGCTGGGGAAGGTGCTACCAGCACCACATCAGGCCAAAACGCAGCCCAGACAGCCAGCAAACCTGCGGCCGGCCCTGGCTATGCTAGAACATTGCTTCTAAGGGAGGCCTGGAGACCTAGTGAGCTAGAGCACGGGCTGCAGGCAGGACTCCAGGGTTCTAGTCTGAGCTCAGGGAGGGGAGCGTTGCCTAGCAGGGGGGTGGGGCTGTGCGTCAGGCCTGGGTTCTAATCCCAGCTCTGCCCTTTGCAATGTGGTTCCTACAGAGAGGCCATGCTTGGTCAGTAACTGCTGGGTCACTGGGCAAGCCCCAGGGGAAGGCGATGGATTTCGAGGGAGCTGCCTTTGATTTGACGGCACAACAGGAAGCTGTGGACATGCCCTCGAAGCTACAAGCTGTCAGTGAAACTCCACAGCCGAGGGAGATTCTCATCCCTGCCAGCCTGGCTGGGCTCTCTGGAGAAAACTATGGCCCTGGGAAGCCCAGCAAGGGGGCTGCCGGATGCCCTGGAGGCTGGACCAGCCATCACACCCAGAGGCCTGGAGCTGGATTGTACTCTCAGGGATCCTAGACCTGGGTTTACAACAGTGTCTCCGAGACCCGAATCCTGCCGGGGGGCAGAGTCTGACGCTGCAGGCCTGCCCTGCCCATGAACCGTAGGAGACAGCGGCTCTCCACTCTGCCCCTCTCATCTTGCCACCAACGTGGCTGCCCTGCCAGCCAAGATGGGCCCTTGCTGAACCACCAGGCTGGGGTCACGCTCTGCCTGGCAGCCCCCGGCACACCGCACTCCCCAGCGCTGCGACTGACGGCTCCTCCACATGCTCCCATCTCCTCAGACCCGCTGACACACACAGCCACGCATCCTCTCTCTTCCTCTGACTCAGACACTGCTCAGCTCCACGGCTGTGCGTAGCCAGTCTCTCACAAGCTTCTGCTGGCTGGGAAACGCCAGGCAGATGCTGGGCTAGCCGGCCACTGCAACAGGTAAACAGCTCTCTCTCCATCGCCCCCTCCTCGCTGCTCTGCCTGCCCCCCGCAGCCCTGCTCCCTCCCCTTTCGCCCCCTCCAATTCAGCGGGTGCTGCTGAGCCCTTTGGAGAAGAAAAATAACTCCAGCTCCCGCCGGCCGCCAAACCCTGGCACGAGCCGGCGCCCTCTGCTTCCCAGCCAGCCAGAGAGAGGAGGCGCCCGTCGCAGTTTGGATACCGTCGGAGCAAGATCTGTCGTCCCGCTACGCGTCTCGGTCCGGAGGGCGTCCCACAAGCAAAGGGGCCATCCCCAGAGGAGAACCCAGAGGGGAAAGGATGCGCTAGGAACTCAGCCAGCGGTAAGGGCAGCGGGGGCAGCTCCATGAACTGCCGCAGGTTACACCACGGGGGAGGCGGCTTGGCACGGCTCTGCCAAGCAGGGCACAAGGGGAAATCGATGGGCTAAAATCCTGGACATGTATGGAAGTGCAGGAAGGAAGGGGGGGAGCGATCGGCGGGGAGGGGGGTGTTGGGCGTGAGAATGAGATGCAGCGTGGCAGACAGTAGCGTTTACTCGCCTGTGACTCACCAGCCAAGGAGCGGGGGAGATTTTCTGATGTCTGGGGCCAACAGGGTCCCCTCACAGACACCTCTTGCCTGGACATGGGGCTTCTCGGTACAGGAGCGGGAAAGGAATGACAAACGCCCCAGTGCCAGTAACCGGGCCACAAACCCAGCATCGGGGTGTAGCCCATGCGGGTAGGGATGGATCGACTGGCCGGAACTGGGGCAGGGGGTTATTCCCAGGCCGCTGCTCCTCAAGGATGGGAGGTGCCTTCTCGGATGACCCTGTGCTAACCACCACGGCCTGGCAGACAGGCCCTGTGGGTGCAGGATCACCCTCCGCCATGCCAGGCCCCGTGGCATGTCTCTCTGGCTGGGCGATGTGTCGGTGCTGAGCGCAAGGCCCCAGCCAGGCCTGGGCTCCCTGAAATTAACACAGACACTCAGGGTGCTGGACAGGACTTTCAGCGGAGGGGGGACCCACCTCTCAGAGCAGCCCCTGGGTGCGACTCCGGTGACTCCACCAGGGTTACTCCAGCGAGGAATTTGGCCCCTAGATCCTTCTCAAACCCCTCCCCCTGGGACTGAAGAGGTCCCCCTTCTCCCCTGCCCCTCGTCCCCCGCAGGGAGGCTCTGCCATTTCCACCCCCTCCCCACACACCGGCTCTGCTGTCAGCATGCCCAGGCCCAGTGAGGCAGTTCCCATGGCAATGCCCAATCAGCCCCACTGCAGGCGGACCCGGTGATTGGTGGGGAAAGGCAGGACAGGGTGGGTGTGAGCGCTATAGGAAAAGTGTGTGTGTGTGTGGGGGGGGGATTGCTTCAGCATGAGGAGGCAGAGCCGAGTGCTCCCAGCTCCTCCTCCTCCACTCACTCGATTGGGTAACTGGGGATACCCTGATATAGGGCCCAATTCTGCAAGCAGTGGAACTCCTGCAGCCCCACTGTGCTCCTAGCAGGGGGCTGGGCCCATAGGAAGGATGGAGCCAGTCTCTGTTCAGCGGCAGGGCCGGCCGGTGTTTGGGACCTAGGAAGGGTCCCCCGATGGGTGGGTGCACCAGAGGTGTCAATCTCAGCTCCCACGAAAGCCAGTGACTCTGGAACCGATCGCCAGGGAGCGCGGGCATGTGACGGTCACGCTGCCCCCCCTGGCTGCCCCAAGGCTTGCAAAGCACAGGGCTGCAGGTTCCCCCAACGTCCTGGTGGGAGGTGACCCAGCAATCATCTCATTGGCCCTTCCCAGGTCCTGCAGGCTGATTCTGCCCACAGGACGATGGGCTCCGGTCCTGGCCAAACCCTCCTTGATATCAATGGGGCAGGAACCTGACGCTGAGCAGGGGAGCCGTGGGAGCAGGGTCTTGGCTCAGCAAGGGCTGTCCCTGCTCTGAAGGGCCCAGTCCAGCTCCCCATGGGCCTAGGATATTAGGCCTGACTCACTGAGAATGCCCATGTCTCCTTGGTACCAGCAGGAGGCGCTCTCAGGAGGCTGAGGTGGTGGTTCAGAGCTGTCACGCCTGTCCCCATGCCCGCCCCTCGGCTCCCCATCCCCCCGGATACTATTATCCCATGCCCTGGCCATTAACCCCTCAGCTCTGGCTAACCAGATCCTCTCTGCCCCT